GCTCACCCGGACCACAGAGGGAAGACTGGCAGCGGCAGAAGCAACAAAGGTCAAGGCAGACAAATGCAGGTAAGATGAATCTGTGTCGGCTGGTGCTGCCTGTCAGCTGCTGCTGCATGTCAGCTGGTGCTGCTTGTGCCAGGTGGTGCAGTCTGTGTCAGCTGTGTCATCTGATGCTCACAGTTAGTGCTTGTACCATTGTGTGGATGGTATTTTAGGTGGTTCGTATAACTGGTGTGGAGTTAGTAATATCAGCTGGTTGTAAATTCCGTTTGTGGCGATGGCTTCAGCTGGTAATATAACGCCGTATGCATGTGTAGTTAGTGGTTTAATCAGTTAATAAAATACGCGCGTGTGCGTGTTGACGTTGGTTTGAGTTGCTAGTTGGTTCCTTGAGTTGAGGATGTGTTGAGGATGGCTATTGGATCCGCTACAAGAAATGGTTACGCAGAGTTGCAGGAGATGGTGGTTACACAGATTTGAGTGTGTACTGGATCCTCTACAAGAGATGGTAATTACACAGACTTGATTCTGTGTACTGGATCCTCTACAAGAGATGGTAGTCACACAGACTTGAGTCTGTGTACTGGATCCTCTACAAGAGATGGTAATTACACAGACTTGAGTCTGTGTACTGGATCCCCTACAAGGATGGTAAGTCACACAGACTTGAGTCTGTGTACTGGATCCTCTACAAGAGATGGTAATTACACAGACTTGAGTCTGTGTACTGGATCCCCTACAAGAGATGGTAGCAACATAGAGATACTGATGCAGGGTAGAGTCTCCCCTGTCACAGTGGCTTTAGTCTTGATGCCAGGTAATAAAGAATAAAAGATGACAACAAATTTACGTGAAGTAAGCACAGTAAAGTCACTCTTAAAGTACACAGTGTATAATAATAAATGACCAGATACATTTAATAACACCAGTAAAATAAGATGTAGGAAAGTCAGTCTGCCTTACATTGAAAAATAACATTCACTGGACGGGCAACGTCATCTCCATGTGGAATAATAATAATAATAATAATAATAATGTCATAAAAAACGTATACATGCACAACATTTCGGGCAGACTCTAAGACGAAAAATATCTAATACTATAAAACTCATTCTCCATGAGGAAGTGGAACAGAATTCTTCCTCCGTAAGCCATGCTTGTCGTAAGAGGCGACTAACATGCCGGGAGCAAGGTGCTAGTAACCTCTTCTCCTATATACATTACTAAATTTAAGAAGAAAAACCTAGAAAGAAAATTTTTCGTTTTTCTTTTTTAGGTGACCTAAAAAGAAAAAACTTTTGCTTTTCTTTTTAGGTTACTCTGCCTCGGTGGGATACGGCCGGTTTGTTGAAGAAATAAATCATGGTTGTGGAGCTGTTTCAGACTGAGTACAAGGATGAAAAAAAATCTAACATGTGCCACAGCTCACAAGCGAAGAGTGAACAGTAGTATATATGTATGGCAGTTATAAATTCGAGTTTGTGTTGGTTCTGTTATCTGTGTTCTATAATGATGATTAATATGCTGTAGTTAGTGAAGTTGACCCCCAGACACAGAACCCATGTGTGAGGTATAAGTAAATGAGGCAGGTATAGTATCAGTAGCGTTGACTGGGGAACATAAACAGCGAATTTTAGTACTCTCTAAATTCGGATACTTTTGTTGATATGTATTGGATAAAGGCGTTAAATTTCTATTTGTTGTTAACAGTTAGTCCTGAAAATTTCCATTTGTATTTTTTTTTTTACTTTTATGAATTTTAATATCTACTTAGGGACATGATTTGTATTTTTCAATGTTAAATGGTAATAATCAAGGTATAGATCTTTCTTTTACTTCATGGTTAACTATGATAATTACTGGCAGGAGGTTTCGGCCAGGGAATGTAAAGGTTGTATTATCAGCGCTGAGTCCAGGTTCCATATGCTCCTTGTCATTTGGTAGCTTATTAGATATACACCAAGAAAGGAGGAGGATCCAGAATGCTGCTTTGAGAGAAGAACTGTCATTTATGGCTATTTGTTGTTGTCTCTTACTAAGGCATGAATGATAATACTTGTGTGTCCTCTGAGTCTTTGTTAATTTACCTTGAAGAAGAAAATATTGTGGTCAACAATATCGAGAAAAATATGCAATATCGGGCATTTTTAATATTGCGTCATTTGTGCTGATCGTAGATTACTTTATTTTTAATATGTTAATAGTATTTTTAAATTAGTAATTGGTCTGTGGTTATTAACATTAGTTGGATCACCACCTTGATGGATGGGTTATTCTGACACTTTGGGAAATATCTGGAAAAGTTTGGACGTCAGGCGATTTCTTGGAAAAGTATTAGCTTTTTTTTTTACAGATATGAGGAAATATTTCAGTTATTATGTGCTATATTTTAAAGTATATTTTTTTTTTATTGTAGATGTTACGACTTTGACGTCGTAACTTTAATAAAATGTTCCTGGCTCCTCAAGGCTGCTCACACTGCTGTCTAGGTGTTATAAAATTACACTGAAAAACACAGTGAACTTTGCGCCAGCATGTACTCGTATATTAAACAATATTAATTATTATTAAGAAGGAAGGACAAAAACTCACCTATGTAAAAATATATCTACATTAACAGTAACTTATATACAACTTATAACTACTACAAAAATCCACCACACTTCAGTTCACATTAGCTCACTAGCTCACTGCTAGTAATGAGTTAAAATAAATCATCAGGGAGGCACCATGACATACACACCCTCGTCTTCACTTCTGTCTGGTAGACTAATTACCAGCAGGTAAAACACTATACAGTACTCTCGCATTAACAGGCCTCTGATTGCTAGGGCCTTACAAATAAACATGAGAGCACTTAAACATAAAACTACCTATAGCATACAAAAAAAAAAAAAAAAATCACCAAACCACCTACTCACACTAACGCCAATCCATGACGACTTGACCCGCCGCCTGCCTACATTTACTGAACTAAACACACCTCTCATCTGAATGAACATTAAAATGGTATAAAATACCGACAGGTTGTTAGGTAAGACACATATGCAACAGTGCATAAGTGTTTGCAATAAAGCTAATAGAATCCTTGGCTTCATATCAAGAAGCATAAATAATAGGAATCCTCAGGTTGTTCTTCAACTCTATACATCCTTGGTTAGGCCTCATTTAGATTATGCTGCACAGTTTTGGTCACCGTATTACAGAATGGATATAAATGCTCTGGAAAATGTACAAAGGAGGATGACAAAGTTGATCCCATGTATCAGAAACCTATCCTATGGTATTGCTGTTCTTACTGCTGAACAGCGGTTTAGTGCCGATGAAGGTAGCGTAGGTAGCAATGATACTGCCGTGGACTAGTTTGGCTTTAATTGGGTAGGAGTGAGTACACAACAGGCAGTGTGAGGGAGTGACCGCAAGCCAGTCCGTGGAGGGGGAGCACTTGTGTCTATCAAGTCGGTCGGCCTAGGAGTGAGAGCCGATGGGCTCAGCCTCCCACTGACGTGGGTGAGCCTACAGAGGGCAGCACCTAAATGCCGCGAAATATGAACTAGTCAGAGCAGACGGCTAGGCTGTGTTTTCTGACAGTACAGGCTGTCTACACCTATGAGGATAGACTAAGGGCCCTGAATCTGCACTCTCTAGAAAGACGTAGAATTAGGGGGGATATGATTGAGGTGTATAAATGGAAGACGAATAAATAAAGGGGATGTAAATAGTGTGCTGAAAATATCTAGCCTAGACAGAACTCGCAGCAATGGTTTTAAGTTGGAAAAATTCAGATTCAGGAAGGATATAGGAAAGTACTGGTTTGGTAATAGAGTTGTGGATGAGTGGAACAAACTCCCAAGTACAGTTATAGAGGCCAGAACGTTGTGTAGCTTTAAAAATAGGTTGGATAAATACATGAGTGGATGTGGGTGGGTGTGAGTTGGACCTGATAGCTTTTGCTACCAGGTCGGTTGCCGTGTTCCTCCCTTAAGTCAATGTGACCTGACCTTACTAGGTTGGGTGCATTGGCTTAAGCCGGTAGGAGACTTGGACCTTCCTCGCATGGGCCAGTAGGCCTGCTGCAGTGTTCCTTTGTTCTTATGTTCTTATCTTTATTTCGAAAAGTTTCGCCTACACAGTAGGCTTCTTCAGTCGATAAAAAAATTGATAAAGCAAAGAGATTTAAAGACAATGTAATCATCCTCACCCTTAAAGTTTTTGGGGTGGTCTCCCTCATCTGAGAAGAGCATTGTTCAATATCTGAAAAAATATGGATTGAAGTGACAGGATGAGCCTTATAAGGCCAGGAGGTAGACTGGTACAGTAGAACACAAAATGTTGGGAGGTCAGGTCCCTCTCAAATCCACCTTTTCTCACTATAGAGGTTGCGAAGTTGATTTCGGGTCGTCTGAACCAAAAAACCCTTGTGTTTGCGTGTCGACGTTTGAACAAAAATGTATTTAAAATACAATTTAATTCAATCTGGTTTTTTTAAAAACCTATTAATTTCAATCTGTCGACACGCAACAAAAGGGGTATCTTGGAAAGACCTGAAATCAACTTCGACAACCTTTAACTATGAAAGGGCTGGTTTTGGAGGGACCTGACCCCCAACTCTGCGTTTACTAGGACCTACGCTCCCCTCCGGGCGCATATAAGGCTCCCCTTCACTTCAACTCCAATTTTTTTCGGACATGGAACAATGTTTTTTTCCGACTGAGGGACTGCCCACCTCAAAACTTTAAGGGTAGGGACTGATTACATCGTCTTCAAGTCTCTTCTGCTCTATCAACTTTCGTATCGACGGGAAACCCTTTGTAGGCGAAACGTTTCGAAATAAAATACTAACTGTTGAACATTAAAATGGTTAAAATACCGCAGTTTCTAGGTAAGACACATATGCAAACAGTTAGGATTTATTCGAAACGTTCGACTACAGAGGTTTCAGTCAGTATAGAAAAGTTGATAGAACGAAGAGATTTGAAGACGTGTGTAATCACCATCACCCTTAAAGTTTTGAGGTGGCAGTCCCTCAGTCTGGAGAAAAAGCATTGTTCCATAGTCTGAAAAAT